ATGTCAGTCCGCGAGGATCGTGCCTCCGCCTTTCCTTCTTCTTATTTCGCCCGCCGTTCCACGGAACCAGCTACCGTTTCCCGAGGACATTACTCACGAAGTCGCGCGGAGAAACTCCACCTTTCGGGAGATAAACCGGCGCGCTGCCTCGAGCTTCGGCTCGCTCGAGGGAAACGAAATTCCGAGAAGCGAGCGGCCGCGATTAAGTTACCGGAAATCTGCGGAGGGAACGGCGCGCGGCTCGCCGGGCTCGTTAACCCCTTTACACGTTATCAACCTACGGGGATTTCATTCGTTTCTCTTGACAACGCGTTGCCTTTCGACTTCTTTACTATCTTCTTTTTAGTTAGAGAAAGTCAAGAATTGCTATCGAGCCGTTACCACGTCTTCTGTCGTGAGAGTTTTAATTTCAGTAGCTTGTTAACGGACGCTTCGCGCGTACGTAGAAAAATGAAATCGCAGCATTTTAAGCTAAATACCCGTTCGAGAGTAAAATTCTCGCGGAACGTGTTTCGCGAGTGGACACGTTGCCAGCGACTATACGAGAGAGCACATCTACCCGCGAAAAATTCTACCTAGAGGAAGTCGAGACACTTTTACTCTCCTACGTACGCCCGGCTTTAGATCCCGCTATCTAAAGTGGACGCGTTACGTCGCGGTTGCAGCCCCTGAAAAATCTGATCAGCAGCTCGCCGCGAGTTTCTCCTCTTCGCGACCATCGAAGGGGAACAGGGGAAAGTACGATATGTAAATCGAACTCGATCGGCCGCGTCTAGACGGATGACACGCGCTGTCTATCGCTTTCCTCGATATTGTTCCGCGGCCGGTGAAGGAGAGGGAAGAGAAAGAAGCACCGGACCGTTTCTTGGTTTATTGCAGGTGATTCCGGCGATAAACGGTACCTACGGTGTTATTGAACCAGTTTGTCAAGCGGCGGAGTCGACTTTTCCACCTGGGCGGAGGAGAGGTTTATCGCGGTTTTTTGCGGCCGACGATCGGTTAACGACTCGCGAGTCGTTCGCAGTTTGTTACGGATCATCGGTTATACGGGGCCGAGACAGTTGAAACCGCCTGTACACTTTCAATTCCCGCCGGACACCGCCTAACCCGGTCGTCTTCGCATTCCCCGCGCTCGCAATTAACGCTTTTCACTATTGTCGGCGGAGGAGCTTCACGGGTTTTGCTCCTTTTACGCTCGGGACGGGGTTCTTGCTCCTCCGCGGCGGCTACGACGACTCCTCCTTTTTCCCCTGTTTCCCCTTCACCTGTCGGCCCCCTGTCAACGTCGGCCGCCGCGGGAGAATTTCTCTTTCGTCGGAACCGGACGACCAGCTGAGGATTAGCTTCTTCGGTAACTGGATCGACGATCGCGCGAAACGATCCCCTTGATTTCTCGGGTCTACGACAGTCTACGATGGACATCTGAATCCCGGTTTCGACACGATTCGCTGCTTTCGGGAGTGTAAGATTTCGAATCGCTTCCAATAGGATTTGATCCTGTCCAATAGTCGAGTGTCGTGAAAGTCGACCCGATTCTGTTGCAAAAGTTCAAGTTTAACTCTTCGCACTCGGAAGTTTTCCACTGGAAATATTTGAACATTTTCTGATGAGATTAAGACGATATTTTGTGAAACTAACTCGAAGAGAAATCGTTTATTACTTCAATATTTCCCAAATTGATGCGTTGTACGAGGTATAATATTTAAATATCGAATTTTATAGTTTTACTATATGATATCAGGTGGTGAGTGAGAGTCACTCGAGTGCAAGGAGTTGAAACTTAAAGACATTGAAGTTCAGTATCGGTTTGAATTGAAGATTTTCAAAATATTCGAAGCGACTCGAATTTGTCGTCGCGCGTACATGCTCGAAGCGATTCGAAGTCTCGATAACCCGTCACTAGCGGCAGTCGGCGTCATTATCAAGGGGCTCGGTCAACATGCACAGGGGACCGTGAAAACTTTCGCAATCCGCCGCGAATCCCGACGACACGCGGAGAGCGTAACGGTCGAGCGACGCCGGAGATTTTAACGCGCGCATAAGTAATGCTCACCCGGTGATTTCAACGCCCGATAAGGCGAGGCGTTTCAGTTCGCGCGACGCCCAGTCACCGGCGCGCCACGTAATTTCTCATAATTTCTTGTAATCGTTGTCGATGATACGATTGGACAACCAGATGGATCACGATTCGGTCGGACAAGACACGATTGCGAAATCAATAAAAAGAACCAGGGGGACGCACGCTTTCACGCGGGCGGCCACGCTTTAAGCTGATTGCTCGGTCGGCGGTAAGAGTGTAGCCAATTGCTCTCGAATGCGTTTATCGCAGCCGGATATTGTATTGAATTTAACAACGAGTTTGATAACGCTCTGAACTGGTCGCTGTCAACGTAATATTCGCTCGAAGGAAACGATATCGAAGGCAAATCGCGGTAGTTTAGCTCTCGAGCGGCAAGATAAGTAGCTTAAGGGTCACACGCTGAGTGGACCAGTTTTCGTGCACGTGCGCGAATTATTGTGGCCCTGAAAATTATGCAAACCGATCCGTTCAAGGATAGGGTCTCCTTTCGCAAGACACACCGCGAACCGATGATATATGATTCATTGATGAAGTTAGATAGCACGTGCCAGCCGAGAGAGATTCTCTGCCTCGGCAGTGTAAAATATCCGTGCTGTCGGTTCGTTAGAAGGTATCAGTGGCTCCCTTGCTTCCATTAATCGCGTCTCTCTCCAAGAAGGAAAGAGACAACGATCGCGCTCCATTTTTAGTGGTACACGCGCCGGTCTGCCTCGACAACCTCTGTCACGTTACTCGCCCGCCACGTGTCCGGTCTCGATGTTTTTTCAATATCGACCGATCTGACGTCGCCGCATAAAAATGCGAGCAGTCCGAGCCGCTCGACGTTCGGTTTCTACACGCCTTCGAAAATCGCCGGCGTCGTCGCCCGCGGGCGAAGGAACATTTATTAGCCGGAGGTTGACGCCTGGATCCGTCCAGCTCCGTTCCACCCGTCTCCCTCGCCTCGTTCGTGTCCATACGAACACGCCAACTGGTCTAGCCGAAAGGGGATCCTTTCACCGGTGTTTCCAAATCGTCGCCGTTTGCCAACGATCCCTAGATCGTTAGGCGGAACAAAAACACGGGCGTAGACCAACACGTAGATTCCTGTTCGCGGGTTCGGTCGATCGCTTTCCCAATTGAAAAAGTCCGATCGAACTGAATTCCCATCGCAGAGTAATATTAATAACCTTTTACATGCATCTCGAATCTGCATAATCAGGCAACGTCCCGTTCTTCCCTTCGAAAGCCGTTCACTTTCCGTCGTTTCATCGACGTCAATCTTTTTGCTAGGCCGCGGACAAAAAAGGTTTTGCATTGAAAATGATCGGCTGGCAAAAACATACCGCATCGCTTATGGGTCGGACGCATAAATACGATGCCTCGATGATTCCAGGTCACCGCGAGCCACAAGCAGGAGCAAGGACAAGGGTGACAGGCGGTGTGATGAGCGGATATCTCGGTAGCATCACCCTGCCCCCGACGTTGCTGCACGACCCGAAGTACCCTCCAGCCATGCGGGAGAAGGATTCGAGCCCGAGGAAGATGCCAGGCCACATCAGCCCGAAGCAGGCCAGCATTTACCCGCTGAGCGTCCGCGTGCCGGACGTCGAAGAGTTACCGTACGACCTGAGCCACGGGCACGGCCGCGGCCTCTCAAGTCCGACAAACCAGCAGCCTCACATGAGTCCGGCGGCCCGGCCGCCGCAGCCGCACCACCAGGACGAGCTGGACTGCGAGCCGCTCGATCTTCGCGTGGATCACAAGAAGGAGAGGCTGCGGGACGAAAACCAGAACGAGATAGAGGTGCTGAACCAGAACAGCCTGAGCAGCAGCCTTCCTTATCACACGGTACTGTTCCCCCAGCACCACGCTGTCCATCCGTTAGTCCTGGAGGCCATGTACCGGTCGCATCACCACAGCTCACCGGTTCCGGACCTGCCCAAGATCCAAGTCAGGGCGCTGCCAACGATGGTGCCGCTGCCGCCCAACCGATTCTCCTCTACAACGTCCTCCACATCCTCGTCCTCGTCGCAAGCCGTCGCAAGGATACCCAGCCCTTCCGTTGCCGTCCAGCAGCCCCAACAGCAAAGCCATCCCAGCCAGCAGCCCCAGCCTCAGCAGCAAACCGCTTCCACTCTACCGCCGTATTCCATCAGCGTCCAAGCCGGTCTGAAGCCCAAGGACCGGTACTCCTGCAAATTCTGCGGCAAAGTGTTCCCCAGATCAGCGAACTTAACGCGGCACCTGCGGACCCACACCGGTGAACAGCCGTACAAGTGTAAATACTGCGAGAGATCGTTCAGCATCTCGAGCAACCTCCAGCGCCACGTGCGAAACATCCACAACAAAGAGAAGCCGTTCAAGTGTCCGCTCTGCGAGCGGTGCTTCGGCCAGCAGACCAATCTCGACAGACACCTGAAGAAGCACGACGCCGACGGGCCGACGATACTCGACGAGGTCAGGTCGAGGTACCACGGACAGCTGCCCAGGGCGGACGAGTCCTACTTCGAGGAGATCCGAAGTTTCATGGGGAAGATCACCTCCCAGAGACAAGGCATCCCCTATTTCCCTGGACTGCTGGGCCACGGCGCGGACGACTTCCGGAATGACAAGCAACAACTCCAACTGGAGGAGAAGAGGGGCGACTCGTCGTACTTCAGCGACAGGGACAACCTGAGCTCGAGGTCAAGCAGCACCGCTAGTAGACCCGAGAGCGTGCAGGAGGAGCAGAGAGAGATGAATTCTCCGCCCCTGTCGCCAGGGAATAACACTTGAGCCGAGACCGCGGGTGTGATTAGTCGACGAGTCTCCCGAGTTATCCGGACGATTCCAGAGACACGAATGTCCATAGATACGGTATAGTTACTTCGACGACAATGTCGAACGGTCCTGCTAGGCTAATTCCTTCCGGACCTAGAATTTGTGTTAGGAAAAGTCTTTCAGAAGTCGCGGTACGCGGCGCCTTTCCGAAGACTTCGTCACAAAGGACTCTATTGTGTCGGTCCGCGACTTGCCGCGGTCACCGATGAAGCGGAAAGAGTCGTGTGCGTCGGTCGGGCCGACAGGTGCCTTCGTCGAGAGTGCGCTGGGTCGCTGGCGAGTTGGCAGTTGAAAGGAACGCGGCTGTAACAATCCATTTTCGGCAGTGTGCTATTCGCCGATCGCGCGATAATCGGTAGCGTAAATGAAATACGATATACCGTTCCTGTGTCTCTGTTCCGAGTGCCAACTCTTTAGCGACACGGGGTAAGGTACGGAGATGAGTTGTTGGCTAAGGAACGCTTCAGTGGTTGGAGTTGAAATGAACCATCTGCACGCGCATTTTTCCTCGAGCATCCGTCGTGTAATGCAAAGTACACGGGAGACTCTTGCCTCTGGGCTGGCCCGTTAGCCATCAAGACATGTCCGTAGTATACGTGCCTGAAACGTTCCGCGGGATCGAGCGTGATCGCGCCGCGAGAAGTTTTACCTAGTTTTAAGTAGACGATAAAGTCGGCGTTGTAAGCAGCATGTTTCTTAGTTACTCGCGAGGGAGGAGAACGCGCGTCCCTTTCGCCGGAACAACGCGCGAGACCGTTCAGAGCAGGCCGAAGAC